TCTCGTCCTACACTACTATATATATATATATATATATATATATATATATATAGGTAAACATATGCATTTCTATAGGAGTACCATTTATATAAAGTTGAAGCTCTAAACAATCAAAATAAGTGCACCTTCAAATAGTATCAAGAAATGTGGTTCCAATACTAGAAATCTTTGTGCTAGCCGTAAAATATTTTTTCATCTCTAGTTATAAAATTAAAAGCTTAAAAAATAATATAGATCGAAAGGATCTATTAAAACTTGAAAATTTTGAAAATTCACAATCCACAAATGAATTACAAGATACACTATTTCCAAAACTTAAAATCCATTTTTTTTTCAAATCCAAACATCTTGAGATCGAGATGAACAATTTGAAAATATTTGGACATCAAACCTCTTTCGGTGAAATTTTTGAGGTGCACGTTTTCCATTATATACATACTTGCATATTATACGGACACATCATATCTAGATATTTTTCTGGGCTCACGTTTCCGACACTTATATCCATATCATCAATAGACACCCGTGTCCGTGTCTAGATAACATAGGTGGTACAATAATATTCTAATAAATATATCATTAAGATTGAAATGGCATCTATGGAACCGTGTGTCACCCACATACCACACGAAAATGGGGCTAAACTCAAAAAAGGCAGTGGTGTTGAACTTTTGAGGACTCCGCATGACATAAAACCCTTAAGACCAGATGCTTCCGAGATCATCCAGATGACTATAATAGGAAGTTTCTCTAAAAAGAACATGGCATACCCAAACTCTATATTTAACCTATACTCCTAGAGCCGGATGGATGGATGGATGGATGGACTACGTGCTATGAGACATGCTGCTGCTGTGCCCACTCAGCTTTAACAGTTAAAAGGGGGATTTGGTCCAAGTCTGGGTAAGACCCCATTCTCTACCTAGCTTACTCGAAATGAGCCATAATCTGAAGTAAAATCAGTAGTGCAGCGGGAGTACATCGAAAGGCCTGTCCAAAATATAAATTAAAGTCTCAAAACATAGAAGAAACCCCTGCACTCCCATGATACAACCAAACCACATCGGTCCACGATTACTATATGCGAACCTCCATCCAAAATCAGAATAAAAATGGGACCTCTTTACCCCTGGACGTATCATTCACTTTATGAAATCAGACTTTCCCTTTCCTCAAGTAGCTGGGGGAAATCATGGAAAACAATTCCAGTAATTGAGATGGCCGACAAGCCAAACCATCTTTGGAACCTGTATAATTCGCTCTTAAGAAATGGCCAATGCACCAAACCACCTAAATGGCTGTCAAAAACTATGTGGGGACATGCAAATACACGAGACCTGATAAATACTAATAACTATTTGATGGATCGCCCAGTGAAAAACCAAGAACCCAAGAAAGCCTAGTGAGAATTTAAAGCACAAGCAGCAGCAGCAGCAGCCAGGAAGCATCTGACTTCAGTCTCTGGCTCCGAAAGCTCTGCAGGAACCTGCAAAAGGTAGTAAGCAATGAGGACCAAGAAGGTGAGAGCGAGAGAGAGAGAGAAAGAGAGAGGATTTCTAAGATTGAAAGTGACCCCATTCAAACCTTTCCATAAACATTTGCAGCAGTGAGAGAAGCCCCTTCCCTAACTAAGAGCTGCACCACTTCCAAGTGCTCTCCACGAGCCGCATGGTGAAGAGGCTGGATGGACCGATTAACACACATAATCAATCAACTCATAAAGTAAACTATGCACAAACAAAAGAACACATGATGGTTCCGGCATTCTCTCACAGTGTCACCATCTTCATCAGTAGTGTTTAGTATCCTCTTGACAACCTCCGAGTCTCGAGCAGTATTTATCAAAAGTTGAACAATTTCAGTGAATCCTGCAAGATATCAAGCAGGTCAGGGACAACGTGGATGTTGGGAAGAATGAGAAATTTAATTTGAGAGTTTTGGGGTTATGCCTCCTGCACAAGCATCATGAAGCGGAATCGCCCCCTCTTCATCCTTGGCCTCCAAGTTTGCTCCTCTCTCTAACAACAGCTGAGGGCAAAGCAAGTGTAGGGTTCTTTTCATTATACTGATTTAATAAGCTATAAAAGACAGAAAATATTGAAACTTTCAACTGTAACCAACCTGGACACAAGGGAGGAAACCATAAAGGCATGTCAAATGAAGGGCAGTATCCCCATCCTCCACAGGATCATCAATGCTGCCATTGAGATTATCTGCACCCATTAAAAAACTCAGCACACATGCACAAGTAGAAAATTACTTGGACAGATACAAACAGGGATCACGTCATGCTAAATATTACTAGGATAGTTATGATCAAGGATCACATAATGCTATTTAAATTTATTATTTGAACAAAGTACCGCGTTCTTATAAACCAACTATAATAAAACTTCACAACCAATTGCAGATTGGATAGTTCAACATCTGTATCCCAATAATAAGATGGGAGTTTCTATAGAATTGTTAATGTTTGGCCTGAAAACAGAATTCAGTAGCAATTCTAACAGCTAAGCATGTTGCAATCTCCATGGCTCATGAATCTTGAATGACCTTGCATGTTGCGTTGTACCATAACTGCCATAAATTTGCAAAAACTCAGTCTGCCTAAGTCATTTGAAGAAACATCATTATTGAGTCCACACTTAAACTGTTTAAAGAAGAGTATAGAGAGTTTGCAGTGACAAAACTCATAAATTAAGTTATCCCAAAGGAAAAGAGCTATCAGTTCTCAGACTTATCTGATTTTGGGGAAATTGTTTTACATCATCTGGAAAGGTTGGTTGAGTTGATGGGAGAGGGTTTATGAGGCTCGAGAGATGTTCTGCATGCATGGTATAGAGGCGCAGAGAGATAGGAGGCTGACGCAAAGGGAAAGTTGGAATTATAGTGGCAGGTGTGGGAGTGAGTGACAAGTTGTCATGGCATTGAATGTGGTTGGAGAGGGGGTTTAGGGAAGGGGGAGGATGATAGGGGTTAAGGGTTTAATGAGCTTAAAATATTTGTGGAAAAGAAGGGCCAGAGGAATATGGGTTGATTTAGGACCGGAGGTCATTCTTCAATTGAACCATAACGTGACTAAGTTATGTATCTCCTTCCATCTTCTTGCTTCTTTTCTTGTCCTCTCTTTTGTTGCCATTTTTTTAAATTAGACATAAATCACGATTCACAAGGTGTGTAAAGTTGTGAATTATAAAATATGTAGGAAATCGTGGAGTTCAAAAAGTGTGTAGGTCCAAAAAAATTGGAGGTCCACACTCAATTGTATATGAACCAAAAAAATGTGTTGGTGAAACTTGCTTCCAAATTAGAAAATACTTGATTCCAAGTTGCTGGAACCACGGTTCAGCTTACTCATTGAACCATGATCGTTGGCAAAGGGATCTGGATCCCATTTGATGGGATCGAGTTCCTCAATTTCCCGAATCGAGATCCCATATCTCGGAGTGAGGGATCGATCAAGCTTCCAAAGAAAAAGCGAATCCCTCAGAAGATCCCGGTAACACTGGTGCGAACAGAAGAAGAACGCAACCTAAAAGTTTTCATTGTGCTAGGGAGCAGAGGTACCCACCCGCTCAACAAAGAGGGTTGATAGGGAAAGAGAGCGATGGAAGAAGATCAAAAGGAGTAGTGTCATAAGAGGGGTTAAGCGGATAGGTACAATGTGTTAGAGAGAAGACTTGGACGAGAAACACAGAGCCACAACTTCCATGCCTGTTCAAAGCCTTTTCATACACATAATTAACACATTCAGCCTTCAAGTGGCTGAGTAAGTAAACATCCACAGCGATGCAGCTTGTCTGTGACTGGGTTCAACTGGGGAAGACAGTGATCCAAAGTATTCATCCAAGATGTCAACTGAACTATTCATTTCTTTCTTGTGGTAATCAATGTCAATCCCGTATTAACTTTCATCAATGTGTGCAGTTAATAGTCCAGGGAATTGAAAGTGTTTATCTCTGCAGACTGAAGCGGAAGACGCTGCATTTTCTCATCCTTGTTCTGTTACAATGAAAGAAAAGCTACTACTTTTTTAAAACATAAATGCCACAATGTAGTTATTTATAATTCAAATAAATAAAAAAGGAAAGAACTGCCACTTCTAACGCTTCTTAAGAGGTACGGGAACCCTTCATCCAAGGCCTCCTCGATTGAGTATGGATGGGCCTGAGAACATCAATTAAACTTTTCTTACAGTATTTCTCTCCACTGTTTCCTGCTGCTGGCTGCTTCCTTTGGCCTTCACGCTGGCAGCTATCTGGCTGGATTGAAATTCTAGACTTTCGACTGTAAGGAAAACAGCAGGGGACTGTGAAGAACAAAGCTAACGCCACAGTCACGTTTTGGACCAGAAATGGTAAGGACTTCATTGGCTGGTCCGCATCAGATTTTGCTTAAAGTTGCGCTCTCATCATATATGCCACCATTTCTTTTAGCCTCTACGTGAAGCCTCACAAGAAAAGAGATTACAAAAAGACAGAAAAGCTAGATAGACTTTAGAAGAGCAACTGAGATGAGGATGTGTACGTTAAATTGAAGCGACTTTAAAAGAATGCGAAGAGGAGCATTTGTGCGAGAGAGCGAGAGAGAAAGAGAGAGAGAGAGAGAGAGAGAGAGCTTTCTTTGAAAGGGACACAACCGTGTGATCGAGACTATATGATTCACACTAGCAGACTAGCACCATTCCTTGCTTCCCGAAACTAGACTAGCTTCATACCTTGCTCCGCCATAACAAAAAGGAACTAAATCGACTTTGAATAGAGTGACTAAGGAGACGACCCCTGCTACCGCTAGCCTTAGCTAGCCAGACGCCTAAGCTTTCGAGGATAAGAATTCCCTTGCCTTAGGCCTATGTCACTCCCCACTCTAAAGAAAGGCTCCCCTCTTGCTTCATCAGTCGGTAAATTAACGATATCAACTTCATAGAATTACGACAGGAGAATATCTAGCTAAAGCTAGCCTTAGCTAGCCAGTTGCAAGTTCCTCTGGAAAAGAGAACCCTTACCCAGTTATAGACATAACTATGTCCACCTTTAGTCTGCCTACGGCCGGTTAAAGCAAGTGTAAGGAACCAGGCGCATGACTGGAACGTCTTTAGTGTCTGGCAGTAGTTGCTGCTTTAGTCTCTGACTAGCCTTCTCCTAGCTGCTTTAGTTTAGATCGGAATAGCTGTCCTCACCTTCGACCTTCGGACTTAAGGGGCACATAGAAGACTTACTTCTTATAGCTTTTGAATTAAGAACTTGGGATTGAAATACCGCTTCCAGCCGACCAGCACCATTCCTTGCTTTGTCAGATGGCTAATGCACATAGTCGACTTGACTTAGTGACAATAGGAGAACACCCTTGACTAACCTGACCCAACTGGGATGAAGGACCTTCCTTCCCTTCTTGCCTTTCGGACTAATGACTGACACCTTTCATAATCTGTAATTAGCTGATATCCTTGCTTTGCAATAAGGCTAAAGAATAGAAAGAGAAATTAGATGGACGACAGGAGCACACCTTGCTAATGCTAGCTGCTTTAGTGAATCAAAATCTCCCTTGCTGTCTTCCTGCCTTTGGCCTTCTACCTTATAGCAAGGACTAAGTGCACATCTCGTAAACAAACAGACTTATCAAACTTGGGACTCCTATCTTAACCTAGCCGATTTCTTTGCTTCGCAATTAGGATAGACGAGATAAAGACTTCCAATAGTAATGACTGGAGAACACATTGCTCTATTGCTAGCCTTAGCTAGCCAGAAGCATGTTGCTACTCCGTTTGACAACTACTACCTTCCTCTCCTTCGGCCTTGAGACTAGCCTTCGGACTAAAAGCTGGGAATTTTGACAAGGGAAATAGTATGTGATGACTCCCACTCCCTTGATTTACCTAGGACTAGTACGAGTACTACAGAGGGAATTACAGTCGACCAGAAGGAGAGCAAGATGGACTCAAAGGACAGGTACGACTGACAAGGCAAGTGTAACGAAGGGACGAAAGAGAAAGAGAGTAAGCAGCAGCAAGCTTTCAAGCAATGAGCAGAGCTGAACAAAGCGAGCCAAAGAGTAGCTAGATAGTCTTTTTCAACAGCTATAGCTTGAAGCGAAGGGGACTAGTGGAACAGATTTATGAGCGAAAGCTAGCTGATCAAAATGGTAATAAAGACCTACCTAACCACCAAGAGCTGACAAAAGTATGTCTTACTAGTCCCACGGTCCGTTAAGGTGAGTGTGACGAACGACTACTGCAAGGAAGATTAAGGGGAAGCTTGATTGAGCTACGAAGTCAAGGATACGCTATATGCTTTCTAGCTGCTTTGCTATAGCTGCCTTTACCACTTTGCTTGCTAACTCTGCTTTCAGTAGTATAGTATTTTTCCTCAAATTTCATTATACTAGTGCTTTCTTACCTTCCTTCTTAATCTTCCTCAACCTATTGGTTAAGAGCTAAGCCCTATCCATTTAGTTAGTCGAGTACGTACCTTCTTCTTTTTCTTATTCCTCTCCTTGTCATCCGATTCCCTCTCCCTATTGGTCGAGTACCTATCTTCCTTTGCTCAACTAGCCTTAACTGACCTAGCGGACTAGTAAGGCGTACTGAGTTCTGTCTTTATCATTTTTTGAGTGTTCAGTTTACCACATATACAAGACTAGTTAGTAAGGTTCCATTTAGTTATCTCCTTTCTTTCTCGCCAAGGGACTACAAAGGCAAAAGAATGATGAGAATGTCCAGTCCTCTAAAAATTACGGAGGGCTTTGTTTCTAGATACCAAATCAGGTTGCGAATATTGTTATTCAAAAGAGAAAGATGCACTTTCCCATATTATAAGATGCATTTTGAGCATTGAGATAGGCATGCCAAACATGCCCACGGTGCAAAGTGGACGCCCAGGTCCCTCGACGGTTCACAGCGAGGGCCCACTGCAAGGGACCACGCCGCAATAGTGCGTGGACAGGCAGCATGTCCAGTGCACCTCTAGGTCACGTTGGAAGCCGAAATCTGTTGTGGTCTCACATAGCAGTCGTGAGGTGAACCATCAAGGTCCACTTCCACCAATGTGAACCTACAGGCCAGGTGGACCACCAATGCAGGCAAGGTGCAGGCATGTGGGCCCACATGAGGTCACGTGGTCCCATCAGACCACGGAATTGATCAGGTGGACCTGCGAGTGCCATCACACACATGTTGGACCCAACACACGTATGGTTGCGCACACAAGCCTGCACACATGTGAAAAGGCATGTGCGTAACACGTGGAATGGCCTACGTGCAAAGCCACACATGCCTATGCATCCCATCTGATGCCGCACTTTCAATTGTGTGGCTGCAGTCTTACAAAATATATTGCAGCCTCAAAATAGGAGCCCACAAAAGCACTACTATGTGAATGTGCGGCCATAGACTTACAATCGTAGGTGAGGGCGCAGCCACACCATTAGACACAAAACCCATCTAAGTAAAGTTAACTTCATTTTCAAAACACTGAAACCCATGGGATTGACTTTCTAGTTTACATCATTCGAGTGTTTAGGCCCAAGCCCAGTATTAACATTACTAGGTTACAAGCATTTTTGTTTTGTTGATACAAAGTTGCACTACATGGATATATTTAATGAAATTAAAGGAAGAATTGATGAAGGTCCAACCATATTTCAAGCAATTGCATCAAATGATTATCACTCATCAGAGTGTCAAAGCCAACTTTCTAAGCTCAAAAAAAATTTTAGTGCGTAAAAAAGCAATGATCAAATTTTCTCAAGATCATGAGATCATACCATAGATGTGGGATGCTTTGTTGGGGTGGTGATCGGAATCTCGAACAAGAATGTCCAAATCATGAAATCTCGATCCCTATCATATAGAGATCTCAATCCCTGGCTATAAGGGATCTTGATCCTTGTGAAACGGGGATCATGACCCTTAGAAAATGGGGCATGATCCTAGTTTAAAAAGATCTCGATCCAGGGGGAGTTTCAAAAAAAATTGAATTTTGAACCCAGAGACTTTGACTTTGTGCTGATTTTTTTATTTCTGATAATTTTCTAACTAATGACCACATGCTGAATATTTGTGTTTTCCATTTTCATGGTCATAGTCTGCATCAGTGGTTGAAAACCAATGAACTGACTAGGTTGAAAACTAGTGACTTGAGTCGGCTTGGCCACTGGAGGGTTCACTGTTCTGAATGGTCTTGAACTGTTGGGTGGTTCTGTTCTCACTGCAGTGGATCTCCCTGCATTGCCTGTGTACAACAGGACTCAGGCAATTCCTGAATTTGGTTCTTATCATGGTCCTACATTCTTTCTCAAATTTTTTTAACGGACTTTTATGCTACAAATTTCTCATTGTGTATAGATAATGCCAAAAGTGGATAACGCATTTCCAATTTTTAAATTAGACTTTAAAAATGAATTATATATCCCCAAGTGCTCCCATATAAACCTAGTACACCTAGACCAGCATCCTAGGTGCTCCCAAAGTAGGTTGAAAACTAGTGACTCTAGTCGGCTTGGCCCCTGGAGGGTTCACTGTTCTGGATGGTCTGTTCTCACTGCAGTGAATCTCCCGGTGTTGCCTGTTAACAACAGGACTCGGGCAATTCCTGAATTTGGTTCTTATCATGGTCCTACATTCTCATTTTTCTCAATTTTTTTTTATGGGACTTTTATGCCACAAATTTCTCGTTGTGTATAGATAATGCCAAAAGTGGATAATGCATTTCCAATTTTTAAATTAGACTTTAAAAATGAATTATATATCCTGCTCCCATATAAACCTAGTACACCTAGACCAGAATCCTAGGTGCTCCCAAAGTAGGTTGATATCAAGCTCCCAGTCCCACTCCAGTTCCCTCACCCACTCCCACTCCAAACAACTATGGATCATACACCAAAGTTCATGTCCAAGGAATCCCCCAGTAAAATGGCATGATAGGATGGAAGAAAAGCCACCTCCTAGAGGTGATTTGGGCATGGTTAGAGGGACTTGACTCAAACTCAATCAAACTCCTGGGTCTACTTGCCTCATATATCAAAACAGATGGATCAAGTTAATAATAACAGCCGGATAAAGTTAATAATAACAGCCTCCAACCACAAAAGCTTCAGAAGAATTCCCTCTGCCACATTCCTCAACAATTGGCAAAAATTTACTAGTTACCCAATCTCTTAGCCAATCCCAAGCTCATCATTGGATCCCACCTCCAAGTTCAATTTCAATGGGTGCTCCCTCGGCAACCCTGGTCCGATAGGAGTAGGCAGCATTATCAAGGACCACAATGGCCTTATTTTGGCCACTTTCTCCAGCCACATTGGCCACGCTGACTCCCAACGAGAGGAATCCACGGCCCTCCTTACTAGTCTAAAGCTCCTACCCCTTATTATTGTAGGAGACGCCCAAAACACAATTAACTGGACTTCCAGATCCACACCCTGCCCATGGTACCTCACCCCGGTTTTTGACAAAATTACTCATCTTTGCAGGGATATGGTCGTCTTATGGAAGCATACTTGGCAGGAATTCAACGCCCTGGCAGACACCCTGGCTAAGGATGGAGCCCATAACAGCACCACCCAACTCTTTGAGTCTATCTTTTTGTATGTATGTATTTTTGTTTATGGTCACTAGGTTACCCTTTTGGAAGTAACACCACTTTTTGTATAGAGCTACTATATTCTGGTAATTGAGTTCAAGGGTACTTCTTTGTTATGTACACCCTGATATGTACACCATGATGGATGAGCGAGCTACATGGATCACATTGATGTCGATCATAATTTTCATCATTACATGAACCAAAACAGTTTATTCAGATTCCAGATAGTACTAAAGCCAGAGTCTGAACAAATTAGAGATTCAACGATACATCATAATCATGTACCTTCTATGAAATAGGCACATTCTGAACTTCATGCAGAAGAAGCAAGATTGGGTGCAATGATCTCTACTATGGTGCAGCATAAATCAATATGAGATGGATAAACCTCATGATAAAGATTGTGAGAATTGAAATCATCTCTTCACTACACCAGTAATATTAAAAGAAGGAAAAAGTGTTTCATGCGGGCTGGACCGCATGACTAGAAATGCGGTTCAAAAAGAGTAAAGCGTCCATCTTAAAAATGGATGCAAGTAGGTGTTCCATCTAAATACAGTGGAAGCTAAAGGTCCAAATGCTTTCTTACTATAATTATTATTTCTAGTTTTAAAAATTTACTTCTTTTTTCATATTCATGATCTCCATGTTAGATATTATTTCCTTAAAAATTAAATCCAAAAATCAATCTCAAAAATAGATTTATTAATAGGCCCGCATTTCTACATATGACGGCTTGGCCGCCCAGAAACCGGGTCCGTAAAAGAAATGGTCAATTCTTACAATGATTAAAATTCTCATTGGGACTCTAACGACGTCTAATGCACAAGATAATTAATAGTTTGTCAATTCTCCAACATCTAGAGATAAATATTGCTGCCAAATCTTTCACGGACGAATTCATCGAGAAACTAAAACACTTCACGAGCTTCCCCCATCATATTGCCCAAAAATTAAATCAGACCAGACTGAAATATCATCATGCAAAAGAAAACAAGAAACAAAAAAAAGATAACAAAACTGGAGGAATGAAACCTACAGAAAGTCATCACAGCTATAACAGCAAGTGGCAACAAATGGAAATGACGATACAAAAACAGAGAGAGTAAGGAATCAAAAGACACAGAGAGGCAGGAGTACAGAGATAAAGATAAAAAGAGAAGCAAGATAGATTAGAGGACATAGAGTAGAGTAAGAGAGAGGACAATAGAGAGACAAAAGGATAGCAGACATGGTGTAGAGAGATAGTAAATACCAAGAGCATGGCGAAGCTGGTCGACATCGCCGAGCTCTGCAGCCTTGCAGAGTGCCCTACGATCGTCAGTGAGATGATGATGCTCGTTGGAGAGAGCCACCTCATCCTCCTCTTCTTCCTCTTCCTCTTCTTGCATTCCATTCATCCTTATTGGAACCGCCATTCTCTCCCTCTCTTCCCCCTCTGCCGAAAGTTACAAACCCTTCTCTCTTAGTACAGGAGAGAGAGGTTCTTCTCCCTTAGCACAGATGGAGTGGTGAAAACGCTGGAAAACTTCCGGTACCTTTAAACAAGGGGGTGTATGCATAACTTAGGAGTATGATATAGACTAGTGTGGTAGTAGACAACCCAGGTGTAATCGCCATCCATTTATTTGATTAAGGGTGATGGATAAACTGGGACACATGATAAATGGCATTGCCCGAACCATGAGCTACTCTCTCTCCATAAGCCGGTTGATTGATTGGATCGTCAAAGACTTATTGCTCTTTATTGTGACCGTAAGCGTGATGGCATCCCAAAGGTGTGGTTTGCGTAAGTTTGCGACCCGGAACCATCAAAATATGCCGCACCTCCAAATTTTATCATAAAATGTAATTTTAGTGTCAAAAATTTTTAGGATAGCATCATAATTAATTTTT